GAGGAGAGGAGGAGGAGGAGAAGGAGGAGGAGGAGAAGAGGAGGAGGATGGGGGGGATGAGGAGGAGAGGAGGAGGAGGAGGAGAGGATGGAGGGAGGAGGAGAGGAGGAGGAGGAGAGGATGAGGAGGAGGCATATTAGGAATAGTTGAGGAGGAGGAGGAGAAGGAGGAGGAGGAGGAGGAGGGGGAGGAGGAAGAGAAGGAGAAGGAGGAGGAGGAGAAGGAGAAGGAGGAGGAGGAGAAGGAGAAGGAGGAGGAGGAGGAGGAGGGGGAGGAGGAGAAGAGGATGGTGAGGAGGAGAAGAAGGCGGAGAAGGACAAATGGTGGACACCCTGGACATAAACATCTCGAGAACGGAGCAGGCCTTCCTGAGGTTGTCTGCGGACTCGGCTCGAGACAGTTCGGTCGAAGGTTGCCTATGTTCAGAAAGGTCCATGTGAGCCCATTGCTTGAAGACACAACGAAAGAAAACACAACAAGAGAGAACCCATCCAGTATCCCCACCACTTGGGCCAGTGGAAACTGCCTTGGCTTCTTCGTCATGTCCAACTGATCATCAAGACCTGGTCGCAGAGAATAATAGAAATAGCTGGTCGCCAATTGAGGAGAGCGGCACTATGTGAGCGTGCTTTGGTGACTCTTGTGCGCGACACTCTTCGACAATTGCTTACGTGGAGGCTCCACGAAACCTCGGGCAGCGAACGTGAAATGAGAGTGAAAAACAATCATGTCTACCTCCACTCCTCCTCCTCCTCCTCATCCTCCTCCTCGTCCTTCTCACCTCACTCCTCTCCCTCCGCTTCCTCCTCCTCGCCTTCTCCTCCTCCTCGCCCTCTCCTCCTCCACCCGCCCCTCCGCTTCCTCCTGCCTCCCCTCCTGCTTACCATAATCATTCTCATCCCTATACTCCTCCACCTCCTTCTCCTACTGCTCCTGATCCTCCTGATCCTTCTGATCCTTCTGCTCCTCCAACCAATCCTCCTCATCCTCCCCCGCCTCCTCCTCCTCCTCCTGCTCCTCCTCCTCCTCCTCCTCCTCCTCCTCCTCCTCCTCCTCCTCCCCCTCTTCCTCTTCCCTCACCCGCCGGCACGACGTCCGAACACTCATATCCTCTCCCTGCCTATCCCTTGTTCTGTCGCAGCTCGGGGAACGTCATCGTGATCATGCGACGTTTCGCAAGACGCGGCGAGGTCCCCTCGAAGCACCAAGCTGTCAGCACATATTGAGGAGTGAGGGTGAGGACGAGGACTTGAAAGAGTAGGCAAGGGAGAGAGATAGAGGTTCTTGGTCGAGCAACATAGAGTCAGGAGGCAGGGGAGAGAGAAAGAGAGAGAGAGAGAGAGAGGAAAGGTGGAGAAGGAGGAAAAGGAGAGGGAGAAGAGAACATCCAGGATGAACCAACGATGCTTCGTTACTCCCTGACGTCTCTAGCCCCCTCCTCATTGATCCTTACAATAATTTGTTTTCACTGTGGCGATCGCCCCCCTTCAAAGAAGAGCGAGCCATGCACCATTCAGGCGATAATCTTTTTTGGGGGAAACAGCCGGCCCAAATCGTCGTAGTAGTTAGTTCCAGGAAGTGACAAGAGGCATCCCAGACAGATTAAGGCAGGGTGGAACGACAACCTAGTCCTGAACCATAGGCGCCCTGCATTTGTGTAGCTGGTACACTATGTAACGTTCCTGGTACTTAGAATTCAGGCAGTCTCAGGCGTTATCACATGTTGTACAGGATCGCCCATTCATCAAACCAACAGTTGAGCAATGCTACACTGCTGGTTCTAAACGTTGCAATGGTCGCAACGAAAACCAAACTTTGGAAAAGGATTAGCCTTCCATCCGAGTCACTATTCGAGGCTTGTGGCTTAAAACAAAAATGCGCGGCATATAGGCGACAGCCTCATGTTGGAAGCGACCAGCACTCCAACCATGAAGCTGTTCGGGTTAAAAACTAAGTGCGCGCGGCGCTAAGGCGCGAACCATACTTTCGAAACGACTCGCCATCCATAAAAGACGCGAACATACTTAAGGAAACGCACGGCCCACCCACCCGGCACGTCTGGTGATGCGACATGGTGCGACGAGGGGGGGACGATTTGTAATGATAATGTGAACATAAGAGAGCATTGGGGGACACACAAGAGCATCGTGTTCAAACGTGATTTCGGCATGCCTTAGTGTTGTGCTGTGTTCTGCGCCACTGTGCGATGCCATGCTTTGCGTTGCAATGACTTGTGATGCAATGCTTCCCTGCGCAATGCCACGCCATGCTATGGCATGCTACGCTCTGCCGTGCTTGTCTACGCCATGCCATGCCGTGCTCTACCATGCATCGCGTACCCTCTCGCGATCATTGCCCTGCTCGACATCCGACTGTGCGAATATATAGGATATCTACGCCATGGTAAGGGATGGGAGGGAGGGGTAGGATGTCAGATATGACGCGAACGCACCTAGCTTGTCCTCCTCCCCTCCCCCTCCTCCTCCACCTCCTCCTCCTCTTCTTCTTCTTCTTCTTCTGCTTCCTCCTCCTCCTCCTCCTCCTCCTCCTCCTCCTCCTCCCCCTGCTGCTGCTGCTGCTGCTCCTCCTCCTCCCCCTGCTGCTGCTGCTGCTGCTGCTGCTGCTCCTCCTCCTCCTCCCTCCTCCTCCTCCTCCTCCTCCTCCTCCTCCTCCTCCTCCTCCTCCTCCTCCTCCCCCTGCTGCTGCTGCTGCTCCTCCTCCTCCTCCTCCTCTTCCTCCTCCTCCTCCCTCTGTCTCCCCCTATCGCCTCATCCTCGTGTGGCGCGACAGGTCCGCCACCGAGGCCGCCACCCACCGAGCTTATCCCTGCGCCGCGACGGTAAGGCAGACACAGCCTCGCGAAAAAGCCGCCTGGCGACCCCCGCGCCGTTATGCGGTCGGGAACTTGTGCTCAGCGTGTCGCGGATGCGGCCCTGGAGACACGCTGCGCCCTGTAAGGGGACAACGCGCCGCCCCGCTCTGCGGGGGCGGGATGCCGGGAAGAGCTCGGGACGTTGGCGCCTGGAAAGCGGGACGTGGTGAGGGTGTCGCGCATAAGCGCGGTGGGCCAGAGCAGGCGGAGCGACACGCTGAGCAGACCTTCCTGACCGCATCCCCGTTCTGGACGTCCCTTCCCTCCGCTCTGGAAGCTGATTCCCCGTCCACAACGGGCAAATTCGACGTCCCCAAATGCAACACTTTCGATCCTCTGGCCCCCCTCCCCCTTCCTCTCCCCCTCTGGACGGCACGCTGGCCCAAGCGATGCCTCTGGATGACATGCACATCCGCGCAACCCGGCATGAGGCCCTCCGAAAGCCTCTGCAAGGGTCTTCTCGATTATCCTCCGAACGTGTGTTAACGCCAACCTGTGTGTTGCCCACCGAGGCCCCTCAATACGACGGAGGCGATGTGATGATCGACTGGTTGGGCTGAACGGGGTAAACACACATTGGGCTACTACACGCCCTGAGGATCATCGATCTCCGCTCCATGCACCCCTTCTGGGCGGAGAACACCGCTGCACACCTGCTCCCACCCCTGCGCACAAGCCAGCGTGCTGGGCTCTCGCGCCCGTGCGCTGGCATCCCTGCCTGCGCTCGGCTGGACTCGGGAACGCACTCACCCAAAAGAGCCCCCAACCGGGGTCGGCCCTGGCCCTGTCGCGAAGCCCGGCCAGCTGCCTTCCGCAGCTCCCAGGCCCGGGCCAGCGGAGGGCGGAACGAGGGACTCGGCCCCACAGCGTGGCTCCCAGGCCCGGGTCCGCCGGAGGGGATCGGCTGATGCCCGTGGCCCGCGGCGTGAGACCCGATGGGCTGATCCCTGCCGGCCCCCATTGCCAGCGGCGGTCGGAAGTCGTGCGCCCCCCCTCGCCTTGAGAGCGACGGTCGGGACAGGGAAGGGGGGGAGCTGGACAGCCCGCTCGACCGTGGCCAGATGAGACGCAGAAGGACGTACTAGTACTATGTGTCCTCCTTGGAGGCGTGCGTCCGACCGATCATCTACTATAACCATTATGTAGCATATCGTTTCCCGAGCGGTACGGCCAGAAAGGAGCCGCCACGGAGCTTTTACCATAAGATTCCTCGGTGCGCGCGTCGCCCCAGGGGGGGCGACGCACATATAGTATTAGTATGTTGGGGTGAAGCCGAGCCAGAAGCAGCCTGGCCCCGCGGCAGCTCCCCGATCCTCGGGGACACACCCGGGGGGGGGCAAGGTGGACGAAAACGACTTTGGAGCAACAACGCCCGAACAAGAAAGAACCCCATTTCCCTCCACCCCCCCGACGTTCACTTTAGAGACTGTTGCGTGCGAGATATTGGGTTCAACATGTTGCCGGTCCTGCTTCTCCAGAAATGCTTCTTCAATGTTAGGGCCCAGGGGTTGGATGGGGGGTCCTGCAAAGAAGTTCCTCAACGCTTGATGCACAAATTTTTCCTTGAACTGCAGTGTTTCTGCTCACTCCCACCTCCTGGCGCCAGATCTGGGCGGAGCCCGCGCGCCCCCCTCCTCAGATATCGACCTCTGCGGCCCGGCGAGGTTTGGGCTCGGCCGAAGTGTCCAACAGCGTCCATGTTCGCTCGGGGATGATCGCGGTCAAGGACTCCATAGCAGGCCGTCCACCCGTCCACCCGCCTACCCATTTGCCCATTCGTCCATTTCGTTGCACGTGTCCCTCGGGCGCGGCTTACCAGGCGCTCAGGTGCGCACTACGGCTGCGACTTCACGCCCAGCCCGTCAGTGCGGGCCTAGGCACCGAATTGACACCGTTCCAACCCGTGCGGCATACATCCGCCCGCCCATCCATCCAAGCATGTACGCATGTGTTGCTTTGGCCAACTTGCCTCATATCCTTGCTCTCCTTTACCCCCTCCTCCGCTCCCTGCTCCCTTCTCCGTCTTGCCCCTCATCCGGGGCGGCAGCGACGAGAGCTGGAAAGCGTTCGCCCAGGCCTGTCAACGCCAATGTAGCGTAAGTGTGACTGCTGCCGACGCTGAACGAATTCACGTCGCGGCCAATGCCTGACAACTGGAGGGGAATCATGAGGGTGATTCAAATGACGATGATGACGATGACGATGATGATGATGACGATGATGCTGCTGATGATGATGATGGTACTGATGGTGATGACAACGGTGATGATGATGATGATGATGATGATGATGATGATGATGATGATGATGATGATGATGATACTGATGATGATGATGATGATGATGATGATGGTGATGATGATGATGATGATGATGGTGATGATGATGATGATGATGATGATGATGATGACTATGATCAGAATGCTGCTGCTGCTGATGATGATGGTGCTGCTGTTGATGATGATGATGGTGATGATGACGATGATGATATTGATGTTGATGGTGTTGTTGATGATGATGGTGATGATGCTGATGATGATGACGATGCTGGTGCTAATGATAATGCTGCTGATTATGCTGATGCTGATGCTGCTGATGATGATGCTGATGATGATGATGATGATGATGATGATGATGATGATGCTACTGCTGATGCAGATGATGCTGCTGCTGATGCTGCTGATGATGATGGGGAGGAGGAGGATGAGGAGGAGGATGAGGAGAGGAAGGAGTACGAGGATGAGGATGATGCTGATGATGCTGCTGCTGATGATGATGATGATGATGATGATGATGATGATGCTGATGCTGATGCTGATGCTGATGATGAAGATGATGATGATGATGATGATGATGATGATGATGATGATGATGATGATGATGATGATGATGATGATGATGAGGATGAGGATGGTGATGGTGATGGTGGTGAGGATAATAGGAGGTTGTGATTGTGAGGTGAAGCAGGGAGGAGGGGGAGGAGGAGGAGGATGAGGAAGAGGAGGAGGAGGAGGATGAGGCGCAGGCGGAGGCGGAGGAGGAGGAGGAGGAGGAGGAGAACAAGCAGGGAGGAGGAGGGGGAGTATGAGGAGGATGAGTATGACGAGGAGGTGGTTTGACCGAGCGGGGCCATACAGGGAGGAGCTGGACGAGGGAGGAGCAAGATGAGGAGGAGGAGGCGGAGGAGGAGGAGGAGAAAGAGAATGAGGAGGAGGAGGCGGAGGAGGAGGATGACGAGGATGATGGGGGGAGGAGGGGAAGGTAGGATGAGGGGTAGGAGGTATGATGCGGGAGGGGGAAGATGTAGTAAGCATGCGGATGAGGGAAGACACGTCTGATCAGGTATGATGAGAAGTGAAGACGAGCATTCTGACGTAGAAAGGGGGGTCGCGGGGGTCGGGGGGTTGTTCGTCGATGGCGAAACGAATGCTAAAATAACGTCGGAGTAGGATGCCCTCTTGGAGGGCGTCCTCTCCCACAGTAGCGCTAGGCAAAGCAGGGCGACGCAAATCAGCACATCGCACTGCCAGAACAGTGTGGCGCAAGACAGTGCGACGCACTGCAGTGCAGCGCACTGCAGTGCAACGCGTAACAACTCAAATCAGAGTACATCAATGCAGAGCAAGCGCTGCAGCGCAACGCAATACAATATAGCGCAAATCAATTCAACGAACACTCATGCATAGCAATGAAGCACAAGCCATGCAAAACAATGCAGAACAGCGCACAGCAATCCCAAGCGATGCGGATCACTGCAGAGCAGTGCAAACCGATTGCGAAACAGTGCAATGAACATCAAGACAAAACAACGAGCCCCAGAACCCAAGGAACCCCGAGAACTCCTCCGAGGATCCGGGGAAGCCCTAGCCCCTTGGAGGCACCCGGGGAGGCCCTGTGGAGGACTTTGGCTGCCTTCAGGAAGTCCTCGGGACCTGGGAAATCCCCGGGACCACTTCTCCGTGAGCAGCAGCTGAGCTGGCCAGAGCCAGCCTGGCGCAGCAAAGCCACAGGCCGAGGGACCCACCGCGCACACCGCAAACGCTGATGTGTGTTGCTCTGCATCGCTCTAAAAGCTTGCAGGGGTAGTCCACATTTCATAACAAAAGGCAAGGGTCACAACCTTCCCAGACGGCGAGCCAGGAAGGGAGCCTTGGCCTAGATCCTACAGAACCATCCATGACAGCTCAAGTCGCCCCCCAAATCAGACCCACTCCAATCGTATTTTCAAATCTGTAATATCTAAGCTAATCTCAGATTAATGCACGGGTCACAAGCCCCCCAGACAGGCAATTTTAGACCCCCCCTAAACCAGCCAGGAAAGGGCGGCCTTGGCCTAGGCCCCACGGAACTATCCATGACAGCTCAAATCCTCCCCTCCCATCGAAATTCCTGGGTATCTTGACCAATCTCATATTACGCTACGCTGGGGATATTTTGCTCAGCGTGTCGCGGCAGCGGCCCTTGCGACACGCTACGCATTGCAAGCCGACAGTGAGCCGATCTGTCTCATGAAGGGCGGGGCCTGGGAAATCCTCGGGAACGGTGATGCTTGGGGGCTGACGAGTGCTTGGCGCGCCGCGCCGAAGCGTGATGGGTCAGAATCGGCGGCGCGACACTACAAGGCAAACGAACCTCTTGACCACCCTCGCCTTCAAACGGGGACCAAAGGCCACCACCGCGTGGGAAGGACCGTGACGGCCAGGCTGCTGGACGAGGCGCGTGGCAGGACTCGGCTGCGCTTAGAAGCGGAGCGGATTCGGAATAGCCCCTCCTCCTCCTCCTCCTCCTCCTCCTCCTCCTCCTCCTCCTCCTCCTCCTCCCCCTCCTTCAAGGCCGAGCAAACGTTCCTGGCCGCACGCTCTGGCGGACCTCGGCCCTCCTCGGGCCGCTCGGCGGCACCTTGGTGCTGGCGGAAGGCCGCCCGGGCACCCCACCGCGGGCCTTCCGCTGCTGCCTAGGAACAGAAGGCCCTCTGAGCCCTCGGGCAGGGCCGGTCCAGGTGGCGGGCGCTCTCAACTCCGAGAGGGCCATGGGGGCGTCCCCCCGTGAGGCGTCCTGGCGCGCGGCTGACTGCACATGTTTTCAACAGTTCTCGGGCTCGGCTGCTCAACGCCCTGAGCCCTGTCATGTCACCAAGTGTGCATGAGCATCTGGGCATCAATGAGCATCTCTCGCCCAAGACTGCCAACAATACCGAAACGGCGGCCTACCCCTGCCTATCAACCTGCCCTCCTGATCCATGCAGGGAAGACAAAGCAAACTGCGTAAAAGTAGTCGTTCGGAGCTGCGAGCGCATTGATTGGATCGGCGCTGGGCACCCTCTGCCCGGCGCGCGCAGCGCGCCAAGGAAGGGGGGCCACGCCGATCCAAACATTCCGCGAGGACCTCCGAAGGTTGATGTTTACGCACTGGGAAAATTAAAACGAAGCCAGGACGAGGATTTCATCGGATGAGGACAAATCCAGAATCTCTGAGATCTGGCGGCTCTGGAGGATGTCTCTCGGGCGCCGCGGCCTTCACACAGAGGGCTCCGGAACGCCTGGAGAGCGTTCCGGAACGCTCTGGAACGGAGTTGTCCTCGTCCTGGCCCTGTCCGAAACATAGCCTCTCAGGCATCGCGCAACCGCATAGCACGCTGAGCAAAATGCGTCTGGGGCTTTTCTGGCCACGGCGAGTTCTGGCTGCGAAAAAATCGCCCGACGTAGATCCGATGAATGGCGCAACAACAATAGCCCCTTCCGATCCCAAACTTGTTTCTGTTTAAGCGTCTCGACTGCACACCTTCCATCTACAATTACTCAACATGAATACGACGCTCATCTCTCCCCAGATTCTGTCTGAGCGGAACCCGCTTTCTCCCGCATGCTTAATTTTGACGCAGAGAACTTAAAAAGGTGATCTTTAATATGTTTGGTCATCCAGATCGCTTCCAAAATTTCGACATAGTGTTTCCGCTGCAGCGTTGGCTTCGTTTTCGGATCGACGCTTTTTGCTCCCGTCAGTGAGAATGTTGCTCTCGTCCCAGCGCGGGTCACATTTCTGGATCCGAACCCTTCATCTTCGTTGTCGCCCTGCTCTTTTCCCTCCTTCGCCTTCCACTGGTTCTCCTGCTCCTCCTGCTTCTTCTATTTCTAATCCTGCTGCTGCTGTTCCTCCTTGTCTTCCTCCTTCCTCGTTCTCGTCCTCTTCCTCGTGCTCACACTCTTGCTCATCCGCCACAACCACCACCTCCTCCTCCTCCTCCTCCTCCCTCCTCCTCTTCCAGTGTGCACAGCTTCCATGTCCTGACTGCGCATGGGGTCATTTTGAGGGTTCCAGGTCTGCTATGGCACCATGGGAAAGGATCGAGAAACTTCAGCGCCATGGGAAGGGATGGGTGGGATGTCAGAGCTAGCTTGCCCTCACCTCCCCTCGCCAACCTCCCCTCGCCCTTCTCTCCCCTCTCCTCCCCCGGCCCCTACTATAGTATCACATACGAGAAAGACATCTTCCTACAAGAAATCAAGGGGCAGGTTATGCCGTCGGCCTTGGAGCTCCCTAAAGTGCCACAGGGCGTCTGTGGGCCTCCAGGGCCATCGGGGGGCACGAAAGCTCCACGGGTAGAGGAACGCAACAAACTCGGCGTAAACACCATTTCTCGGAGGTCCGCGCCAATTTCTTGGATCGGCGCTGGACCCCTCTGGCGGCGCCTCCGTCGCCGCCCCTGGCGCGCTCCGTTTGCGAAGGAGGGTCACCAGCTGGCAGGCAAAAACCTGGGACAACTTCCCGACAATTTTTTAAAAGACGCCTGGGCATCTTTTTCGAGTTAACGCCGGAGGGGCGAACGTGCGTATGGAGCTGAGCCAGCTTTCCAGCCAATCGGTTCAGAAACGCTGGCTCAGCTGTTCGGGAGGAGGCTTCTTATTCTGCTGTATCTGCTGCATCTGCCTCCTATCTCTGCTGTATCTGCTGTATCTGCTTATCTGCTGTATCTGCTTAATCTGCTGTATCTGCTTAATCAGATGCCCAACCGAATTGGACGTACCTGCTTTGTCTGCCTCCTATCTCGCCCCTCCCCCGTCCCCGCTGCACCGCAGCCCTCTCGCCTGCACGAGAGCGCTTTTCAGCTCCTGGCAGGGGCTGGGAGGGGGGGGGGAAGGTAGGGCGTCGGCGGGGAGGCCTGGGAAGGCAGGCAGGGGGCGAGAGGACCGGAGCGGGGGGGGGGAAGGGGGCCGGACAAGGCAGCTGCGAGGGAGGAAGGGATGGGGTTGAGGGGGGGGGAAGGTAGGGGGAGAGAGGAAGGGAGGGGCGAGGGAGGTTAACGGCAGGGAGGGACGGGGGAAGGAAGGGGGGAGGCATGGAAGAGGCAGGGGGGCGGGAGCAGGCAAGTGGGGGAGGGATGGGGGGCAAGGACGGGTGGTGAAGGGAGCCTGCAGGGAGAGAAGGCGACGGGGTGGCCGGGAAGGAGGGCCAGGGCCAGCGAGGAGACGGGGAAGGGAGCAGGCTGAGTCAGGGAGAGTAAGGAGGGACGAGGTGGGAGAGGAAGGGACACGGAGGGGGCAAGGCCAGCCTCGTCCGCAGCTGCGGCGCGGGTTCCGGCGGCGGCGAACGCTCCGAGCTGTTGGGCGGCTTTGGGCGGCAAAGCAGCAGAACCCTTTATTTTGTTTGCTCTTTATTTTCCCACCCACAGGGGTCTCTAGAGGGCCCGCAGAGTTCGCAAGGCCACGGTCGCCGACAGAGCCACCATCCCTGCGGCTCCATGGTCCGAGCTAGAGGCCGTGCGACGGGACACGCAGAACGGCTGGGACAGCCACGAGCGAGAAGGACAGTGCGAGGCCATGCTGCTGGGCGCACTCGGGCGCTAGGCCAGCAGCCCCGACCACCAGCACGAACCATCACGGCCACCACGACCACCACCGCCACGATCATCTCTCACTATCTCCATGACCACCAACAGGACGACCACCACATCGACCGCTTCTACGACTGCCACGACCACTACCACGGCCACCACCTGCAAGACCACAGCCACGACCACTACGACGGGGCACGATCGCCATCACGACGGCCACGACCGTCACCACAACGACCACCACCACGACGACGCAACGACCGCCCCTCGCTACCCCCTGGCCTCCCTTCCCTCCCTCCCTCCTGCCTGGCCGCCCCTGCCTGGAGCTTTCGCCTCCTCACTTCGTTAGTTCGTCCAATTGTTTAGCAACCCGGGAACACAGCTTGGCCTGGGAGGTCAGTGCCACATGCGGCACGAGTGATGCGCGCCGCGATGTGCGCCAGGAGTGCCACCCGGCCCGGCCTCAGCAGGCCCACGCTGCGCGTGAGGCTGAACCCCAGGCCATACCTACACGATCACCCTGCGGGTGATAAGGAGGTTTAGGAGGGAGAGGAAAACCCACTGACCACAACTGCGATGACTGTGATGGCGTTGAGATCGCCTCATTGCACGATGACGCTCATAGTGAGAAGTAATACTAGTGATTGTACTGAAGGCGAGACAGCCGCGCAGCTGCGATGGAGCTCACACCACAGAAATGCGACCTCGCATTCGACTCCAATCGACCGATCTCGCTAACGGTTCCACTATCGATCTCATGATCGAATTTCACAATCGATTTCACCATCGATCTCACGATCGCTCTCGATATCGATCGCACTGTCGATCTATCGATCTCACTATCGATCTCAATATCGATCTCACCATATACCTCACAAGAGATCTCACGAGACACCATCGGGAAAGCACGATGGCCCCCCCAGCCACGGCGGGGCAACCCCAGCCAAAGATCGGTTGAGATCAATCTCGCTATCAATCCCACTATCGATTTCACAACTCATCTCACGAGCTACCATCGAGACACCACGGCGAGACACCCGGAGCCGCTGTCGGGACAACCCGCGCCACCGACGGGGCACCCGGGGCACCGGCGCGGCCCCGCACCATGAACGGGACACCGACGGGACACCGACGCGCCACCGACGGGACACCCCTGGCCACCGCACGCAGGGGTGGGTGGGGCGGACAACTGGCTCCACAGCCCGTAGCCACGGCGGCATCATTCCTCTCGCGCGCCCACGCAGCTTCGCCTCGCCCGCACGCACGACACGAACACGCAACCGAAACAAATTTCCCGGTGGGGGGCTCTCCGTTCCACTGCGATCTCACCTCCCAACCTCCGATCCCCAATGCCCGGTGGCACGCCTATGTGATGGGGGTAGGGGCCCACTCGGGTGTCTCTGGGCTAGGAGGGCGGGGGGAGGGGGAAGGGAGAAGGAAGACATGGGGGAGGGGGAGGTAAGCGGATGGGGGGAGGAGGGAGGGAGGGAGGGAGGGGAGGAGGGAGGGGGAAGGGAGGCATGGGGAAGGTAGGTAGGGAGGGAGGGGGGGCTTGGCGAGGGAGCAGGCACGGATGGGATGCCCGAGGGACCAGGTGCTCTCGGCGCTATAGGCGCTCTCGGCGCTATACTCACACGTCCTGCGCTGTGAACCTTCCAGCGCCCTTAACGCTCTCTACTCTCCCTCTCACAAGACAGATACCATGTACACTCTGCACTCTACCCTACGTGCGCCTTCGCCACATCCCATACCGCACACTCTCTACACTACCCACGTCCTCTGCACCATTCAACGCTTCCTTCCTTCTTCCTCGGCCTTTCATGCTCTGGAGCGCTCTGGAGCGGTCTGGAGCAATGGCCTTCCTTCCTTCAACGATGGCCTTTCCACAATGCTCTGGAGCGCTCTGGAGCGGTTTACCCTGGTCCTGGCATCGCCCGATGCACCCTCGACGCCAATCGGGAACCCGGCGCCGCGAACTGGGAACCCAAGATCCCAGCCGCCTGCCGAGATCGACCCGCGCACTTCCACCAGACGTGGAAGGCGGGGGCGGGCCCCACCGCGCGGGTGCAGGAGGCCAGGGTGCAAGGGCGGTCCTGGGAAGTCACTGATCCTTGCGATGCGGTTGGACTGTGCCACGTGCAGCCCGAAGAGGGAGGAGGTGGAATGCGCCGCTAAGACACATCCGCGTCCGCAGCTGCCGGAACCACGCCCTGGAGATCCCTTGGGCAGCGGCGGGCGCGGACATACCTTCACGCCCGCGGGCGGCTGTCCGCACTCGCCGCTCCTAGGAGGAATCCCTCGAGGCCCCGGGGCACTCGGCTAGACGCAAGAGAGGCTTTCGGGGGTCACGGGGGGGCAACATCCAAGCGTGCCGGCCACTGCTGGTGGGAACTTTGCGGGCCCGCACCAGAAAGGTCACTCCGGCGAAGGGCCACCTCCTTCGCGTGGGTGAGGCGCGACCCCGAGGCGGTGGACATGGATTTGTTCTGTTTTTCTGCCCCAAAGAGAACTCAAACAACCTCGTGGGCGACGAACACACTGCAACGGCAAAATGATCATGTTACGGAATACCTCTGAAGGTGGTGAACATGTCAAACGGTCAGAAGGAACAGAGGATGCGGGGAAAAGAAAGGAATGGCGGATTTGCTCTGGCGATGGAGGCGGGGAACAAGAAGAACCACATCGTCGGACATGGGTCACTCCGCTTTAGGTTCCTAACTCGAGTCTCCGGCGACGATCCTGGCACCCCCAGAGCATCCTCAGCGAGGCGTGGCTGCTGGAGAAAAGATCCCGAGGCGAGGAAACCTCCAGAAACCGGCCAAGCCTTCCGAAAATCTGCGACAATGTCGGAGACTCGGGTCAGCGCGCCACCGACCTCGGAGGTGGACATGGACCTCTGGCTTTTGAGCCATGCGTATAACTCGGGCTCCCAGCGGCAGCTCGGGAGACTTTCCTGGCAATCTCTGGGGACGCCCCCTCGACGAGGCGCAGCTCGTGGAAACCGCCCTGGGCCACGAAGAGCATTGGAAAACTTCAGGGCTCAGGGACATACAAATGGATAAACACAAATCCCGGGACTTCCTATACTTTCCATATTTTCTGGTTTGCCGTCTTTCCTGGGGAACCGACGATTCTTAGTCTGTTTCCCCCCCCTGTGAAAACTTTGCGAGATTTCGGTGACCTCCCCCCCCCCTGAGCCCATCCCATCTCCCCCCCCTGTAGAGGAGGCCTCCTTGATGGGGTCCGAGTAGATGGGCGTCGGAGGATTGCGCTGCATCGCCGATGCCTCGGCGATGTCGGCGGTGCATCGGCGGCGCCGGCGCGGAGAACATCGGGCTCCACATCGAGCCGCGTCGCCGATGCATCGGCGATGTGGCGCGATCCTCCGACCCCAGCTGCTCGGACCCCAGCTCGGAGGCCCAGACCTTGACGCTGCCCCCGAGGGGGCCCGGGCGACCCGCTCGCATCCTCGATCTGCCGACGGTGCCACCGGATCTCGTCCTTGAGCCTCGGGGAGCGGGCGCGCACGGCGGATCGCGTGCAGCTCGGCTCTCTCGGCTCTGGGGCGACGCAGGGGGCGGAGGGAGGAGGGGCAAGGAGGGGCAGGGGGGTCAGGAGGGTCGAGGAGGAGGGGCAAGGAGGGGCAAGGATGAGGATGATGAGGAGGAGGAGGAGCAGGAGGAGGAGGAGGAGGAGGAGGAGGAGGAAGAAAAAAAACAGTGTAAACCCAAGAGTCATCAACGAAGTTGGGATACACCATCCCTCCAAGCTCCCTGCTCATAGGCCCCATACAAAGGGTTCACTTCCACTGAGGGGAGTGACCCGTTGGGAGACAACCGTGTGCAAATCCTGAAAAGCACCAAAACACCATTCTCAGGAATTCAACGCCACGAATCCAGCTGACAATTGCGTCTTGACGGTCCTGAACCGTGCCATCACACCATTCTTGGGACTTCAACAGAGCGATTCAACGTAAATGCTGCGCCCTGACAATCTTGACTCGCTCGAAAACACAATTTCTGGACACTTAACTATGAACACCCGCAACAGTCCCGCAATGTTTCAAAACGGGTGTGCGCGGCGCTAGAATGATAACCACATTTTGAAAATACGGAGCCACCTCAATCCGTGAAGCCCTTGATCATTTTCAAACAACAAAGGTGCGCGGCGCTGAGGCGATAACCATATTTTGAAATCGACCCGCCCTCAATCCGTGAAACTCCTGCACACTTTTTGAAACGGATGTGCGTGCGCGGCGCTGAGGCGAGAATCACATTTAGAAATCGAGCCGCTTCACTCCGCGGGAATCTTGCCAATTTCCCCAACACTTCTGCGTTGGGTACTCGTTTTGAACAAAGCACTGCGGTCGCGCACCACCTTCCTTCCTTCATTCCCGCCTCCTGCTTCCTCTCTCCTGCCTCTTACCTCGTTCGCTTCTGCATGCCAGTTTGTCTCCTACCTCGCCATCCTTGGGGGACTACGATCTGCGAAGCTGTCGCCACATTCGACAGCTGCTGGGGGCCCAGCGGACTGAGGTGCTACGCAGATTCAGATTCGACCTCGCCATCCTTGTGGGGCTGCACTTTGCGAAACTGTCGCCAGTTTCGAAGGCCGCTGGGGGTCCAGCGGGGTGACGTGCTACGCAGACTCAGATTCGGCCTCGCCATCCCCGTGGGGCTGCGAACTGCGAAACTGTCGTCATTTTCGAGGGCTGCTGGGGTCCAGCGGAGTGACGTGCTACGCAGACTCAGATGAGACCTCGCCATCCTTGCGGGGCTGCGACCTGCAAAAGTGTCGCCGCTTTCGGGGGCTGCTGGGGTGCCAGCGGGGTGACGTGCTACGCAGACTCAGGTTCGACTTCGCCATCCCCGTGGGGCTGCGAGCTGCGAAACTGTCGCCACTCTCGAAGGCTGCTGGGGGATATGAATGGTGGGTGGCAACTGACGCCTCTGAGTGATAGTGGTGGCACATGTGTGCCTTGAGGTGGAGGTACGGGTCAACCCCCCTACGGCCGCCTTCGTTGGCCGAAGGGCCGTAAGTAGGGGGGTCCTCGGCCCCCTCCGGTGCCCATTGACGGCACAATGAAGGTTGACTGGTGGGAGCGGGAACCCCCGCAGCCCATTGATGACTGCGAGGGGTTTGAGGCCTAGTGACGGCCCTCACCGACGAGGTCTATTGACGGTCCTCGCCGAATGGAGGGGCGAGAGGGAGGGGGGTCATCCCGAGTGATGATGCCGTCCGCGTGTCCTCTACTCCTGAGTGACGGCGCCGTCCGCGAAGCCTCCCACTCCTGAGGTGGGATTCGTGCAAATGGGGCCCCCAAACCAGCATGCGCTTCTTCGACTCCGAAACTGATTATCCACCACGCGATCTGTATCCCATGTTGTGGGATAGATGCTGGGGGGAACGGGCGGGGGGCACAGAATTGACATAGGTAAACCCGCTGTGTTTTACCCAGAGAGAGCTGCGACGAAACGGCGGACGACATGTGGTGACGTTACCCGGCCGGACTTCGGTGGCCTGGAGGAGGCACCCGTAACCCTTCGGAGGTCACTGGCCAGATGTGGTGGCGTTGACCTGGCAGGTCCTCGGTGGTCCGAAGCCCCCGGAAGAATACTGGAGTCACCCGTGGGGGTTCCCACAGCCTGCGTCCCCGCCTCGGGAAACGAGGAGGCGGGGGGGGTGGAAGACAACGGGACGGACCGCGCGGCCACGGTCATGGAGGGTCGTGAAGCGGGATCCTGAGAAAGGCCACCTGAACCTTATCGCACTGCGGGGTGGGGGCCCAGGAAAGCGGAGGGGGAACCGAAGGGGACAGGGGAATGGGCCGGAGCGGGGAAATGGGGGAGAACAAACACGACGGGGAAAGGGGACACCACATTCATTAATTCCTATTGTTAGAATACCACTACGGCACGGGTCGCACCGTCACCCTTGGTTGGTGGGGAGAGGGACGCGACCGCACGAATGCCACTACAGCACGGGTCGAGCCGTCACCCTTGGGACGCAGAAAGGGGGTGGCTCAAATTACAAAATTTACAAAGTTACTGACAATGACAGGAACAATCCGCTGGCAGGGGAATCAATCCCGTTCGCGGCCCAATGGAGGATATGAGCGGTGGGTGGCAACTGACGCCTCTGAGTGAGGGTGGTGGCACATGTGAGCCTTGAGGTGGAGGTACGGGTCCCCCCCTTAGCGGCCGTCTTCGTCGGCCGAAGGGGCCGTAGGGGGGTCCTCGGCCCCCTCAGGTGCCTCTTGACGGCAAAATGGGAGGTTGACTCGTGGGATCGTCGTCGTCGTCGTCGTCGTCGTCGTCGTCGTCGGAGGAGGAGGAGGAGGAGGAAGAGGAGGAGGAGGAGGAGGAGGAGGAAGGGGGCAGGATGGCCGGGGCTGAGCAGGAGGACCGCTCCCCGCCGACCAACGCCCGTGCGCGCGGCCGCCCACGCAGGCCCTGTCGGGGCCTCTTCCTCCGCCTCCTGGGAGGGCGCCGCGCTGGCGGCCCTCCCCCCCGCCTCTCCTCCCGCGCTCGTGGGGAGGCGCCGCGCTGGCGGCCCTTACTTTAAGTCGGACGTTTTACACAAACCCGCACTAGACCTCGCCATCCTTGCGGGGCTGCGATCTACGAAACCGTCGCCACTTCCGAAGGCTTCTGGGGGGTCCAGCAGAGTGACGTCCTACGCAAACTCTGATTCGACCTCGCCATTTCTGTGGGGCTGCGATCTGCGAAACTGTCGCCACTTTCGAGGGGTGCTGGGGGGTCCAGCGGGGCACTGTCGCGGGCCGCCCGCAGAATTGGCGGCGCGCGTTCGAGCGTTTAGCTCCCGCGCTGCAGCGTGCAGGAAGGAACAGGGAAGCTGGCGGGCGAGCTAGGCTTCGCTCGCTTCTTGCACAACCTATAAGCAGGTTAATTAACTTTGTCAAGCGCCGCGGCGACATGGCGCAAGCAACGCTGCATCTATAGCACCTACTGACACAACCAACACTTCTCGGTCTCCTCCCGTCACTTTCGTCGTCGTCCTCTGCCCTCTGCCACCTTCACTCTGCTGCTGCTGCGCTGACGGGTCGCCCCACCCGCGCGTCCTTCTCCTGCCCTTCGTTCCCGCCTCCATGTCCTCCTCAAGCCTCGGCTTTCGCTCCTCGTCCTTCTGTCGTTGTCCCGTGAATCGTGCCGCGTGAGCGCATCCCATGTAGCTTGCACAACATTGGCGCCTGCACTGTCATTGTCGTGGAAAGTTTGGACCAAATCCTCGTGCCACTCGATGCAAATTTGTTGGGTATGTCACGGGGTGATTTTACATGAATGCGCGCGGCGCTATGGCGAGAGCCACATGTTGAAAACCAGTCATTCTAAGTTCGTGAAGCTCTTGCAATTCGTCCCAACCCTCCTGCGCTGGATACTCGTTTTGAGCAGAGCACTGCGGTCACACCTCCTTGCTTTCCGCCCCCTCTCGTCTTCTCTCCTGCCTCCCACCTCTTTCCTTCCTGCGTGCCAGCGTGCCTCCTGCCTGGCCATCCCTGGGGGGCTGCGATCTGCGAAACTGTCGCCACTTTCGAGGGCTGTTGGGGGTCTAGCGGAGTGACGTCTGACCCTGACTCACAGAAGACCTCGCCATGCCTGGGGGGCTGCGATCTGCGAAGCTGTCGCCACTTTCGAAGGCTGCTGGGGAATCCAGCGGAGTGGCGTCTTACCCGGACTCACACTCGACCTCGCCATCCCTGGGAGTGCTGCGATCCTCCAGATGCTCGTCGCCGCTACCTTTTAGCAGCCTGTCCCGGTGGCGCCACTCGGCAAGCTGAGCCCGCCGCGCGACGCGCTCCACCAGCGAGAGCTCGCACGGGTTAAGCTGGTCGAAGTTGGCCCCGAGCTCCAGCGCCCGCATCGCCAGCTCGTGGTCCGAGACGCCGGTGTCGTTCTGCGCCAGCCCGCACTCCGCGCGCCACTTGCTGTGGCGGGCGCGCGGGTGCGAGTCCTGCTCCGACAGGAAGCGAACGCACCACAGCGCGATGCGGGGACCCTTCGCAAGCCATCCCGTCCATGGCGTCTCGCTCGTTGCCCGCACCGCGTCTTTGAAGACGCGCGCGCCTTTTCTCGCCATCGAAGCTATAGAGGATGGGTAGCACGCGGGCGTCAATGGCGCTCTCGGCCTGATTCTCGGTCACCGCATTCACCAGGTGCACGCGCCCGCCGCTCTTGGCCAGCGCCAGGTTGTCACGCTGCACGCGCCACTCGCAGCTCTCGAAGTCCCCGTTGGAGATGGCGTCGCCGACGTCCTCGTTCGCCGCGATGAGCCAGCGGCGCCCCCCCCTGGCGTCGAGCTTCCCACTGCCCCAGACGGCCTCATGAAGAGTCGCTGTCCCACCCTCCAAAGGCAGTGGTGCTGCCGCCGCCGCCGCCGCCGCCCCCAAGGGCCTCGGAGGTGCCGCCCCGCCCGCCATCGCCACGTCGCAGGACCCGACCAGCTCCATGACCTCGTGCGGGGTCCAATACTCTCCGTAGATCGCCTCGCGCGGCCGACGCGGTCCTTCCCCGGCGCCCCGTCGGATCGCACAGGACCACCGCGCGGAGAAGGGGGCACGTCCAGGTCGGGCGTCGTCGCCGTCCAGACTGGATTCCCCGGATCGTGCGGCTCCTTCTCGTAGACGCTCTCGTACTCGGCGGCGTCGGGCGCCCTGAGCAGCAGCCTCACCTGGTAGTCCTCGTTCCGCCGCCACTGCACCAGTACGCCCATAACTGCTCGCAGCTGCAGCGACATGGCGACTCAGCCCGCCCGCGATGACGCACATGGAGCAGCAGCAGCACGCCACCAGCGCTCCGATGAGGAACACCCCGAAAAACAATACGCTGGTGCCACCAGACTGCTCTGCCGCCACCGCCCACTGGCCGCTCTCGACCACCAGTGGCTCCAGTCGCTTTGCCAGGGAACTCGCGAGCTCACAGATCGCCGCCGCACCTACCTGTTGAAGCATGTGGGCCGCCGCTCTCGAAAAGGCTTGGGCCCAGCACGGCATTGGATAACTCTCTCCCGCGCGGCGGCCGAGACGGGGCTGGCAATGGCGTTCACAGAGCTACAGAGAGGAGGAGTGGAGAGAGGAGGGGGAGCAGGAGGGCGAGGAGTAGGGGCAAGAAGGAGGAGGATGATGATGATGATGAGGAGGAGGAGGAGGAGGGCGGGAATGGGGGGAGAGGCGGGGCAGGAGGGCTAGGAGGAGGGGAAGGGATGGGGAGCGCGCAACGGTGAAGGAAAAAAGGACGGGAAGGAAGAGGGGAAGGACGAAAGGGGGGAGTTCGATCTCGATTCGGGGCGACTTGACGAGAGAGGAATGTCCTGACCGAAGGGCTCGAAGCGCGAGGGCGGCGGGAATCCGTCGCCGCTGCTGAGCGGTAGCGGCCCTGGGGCACGAGCCGGAACACGAGGACGCGAACGAGGGGGCACATCCTCGTCGCACCCTCAGACGTGCAAGTAGGGCGGGCGGGGCGCTTCGCCTCAAACTTCCTCACCGCTCATGGCCCTGACGCTTGAAACCCTTATCGGCTACGAGAATGGGCGGCTTGCCGTTTCCAAAGGGTCGCTCTCGATTCATCGTCGCGCGCATTCGCATGACAGAGTGTTCATCAACTGCAATGATGAAGGGCGAACCGTTTTCAAGATGTGGCTATCGCCTGGGCGTCGCACGTATTTTTGTTCCAACCGCGTCCTACAACTACACGGTCCCGAAGGGGGGCTCTCGCCACAACGTGGCTCACATTCGTCGTGCAAGTTTCCGACACCTACACGGATACACGGCGATTCTTTTGCAATGGAGATGTGGGTTTCGACTTCCCCTAGATAGATTAAGCATAGCGTGTACTATCAAGGTTAAGGACAGTACATTGTCAAAAAGGCCTCACGCTTGAGATATCTTTGGGAGCCACAACCCACGACTAGGGGCAAAACATTGTGCAAGCGTTAACTGCACGGAGGGATGGTGGCTGCTTCTCAAAGTGGAGGTCTCGCAAAATAGGGGCTGATGATGAGGCGTCTTGGATGGTCTGGGGACGGGAGGCCTGTTGGAGTATAGTTGATGCACATGGATGAATTATGCGTGTACTCCTGTCCTCCTCCTCATCCTCCTCCACCTCTTCCTCCTTCTGCTGCCACTCCACCTCCTCCTCCTCCTCCTCCTCCTCCTCCTCCTCCTCCTCCGCGTCCTCTCCTCCTCCTCCTCCTCCTCCTCCTCCTCCTCCTCCTCCTCCTCCCTCCCTCCCTCCCTCCCTCCCTCCCTCCCTCCCTCCCTCCTCCCTCCTCCCTCCTCCCTCCTCCCTCCTCCCTCCTCCCCTCCTCCCTCCTCCCTCCCCCCTCTCCGATGCCCGCGAGAGGCGCCTCTCCGCCGTGTGCTCCTCCTCCAGGTCGATGGGCTCGCGCTTTGCCTCTGCTGCTGCGGCGTCCGACCGCGCGCCAGGGGCGGCAGCCGCCGCGTCGCCCGGCGGCACGGCGGGCGTGCCTGGCCCCGGGGGCAGCCGAGGTCGGGCGCGCCCACCCGGGACTCATCCAGGGGAGGCTCGGCCACGGGGGAGTGCGAGAAGGAGCAGGCCCCAGACCCCCGACGTCGTGATTTTTCCACAACGTCGACCCACAGAGGTCTGGACCCCTTCCCCCGGACCGGTGTCTCGTCCTGAATCGTTTTTTGACAGTCCCGAGGCCCGGTAAGGGCCCCCGGAGGCCGAACATAGCGAAAAACATCCCGTCGTGATTCTTTTCACATCGCGAGGAGGTCGGGCCCCAGTCACAGCCCGAGGGCTCCCCCCAAGACGGCCCGCGACCGCTCCGAGGAGGGCCCGGCAGAGCCCCGAGGCCCGGGCTGGACCGCCCCAGGGCGATGCTGCCACAGCGTTCTCCGGAGGGCCCCCGGCAGAGCCGTCGCGGCGGCCCCGAGGCGCCCGACGGGCCCCCGGGAGAGCTCCCGGAGGCCCACCTCGGCGGCGAGCGAGGGGTGGGGGGGAAAAGGAGAGAAGGAGCAGGCCCTCTCGGAAGGCGGCGGGGGCCTCTCAGAGGCCCTCCGGCCTTCTGAGGAGTGGTCCCAAGGTCTGCGAAGTATGGGAGACCTGGAACTTTCACGAAGAGCCCCCGTGTTTTGAAGTGGATCTAAGTTTCTCACAGCTCCGAATTATGGGAAACCCAAGGCCATACGACTGCCTCTGGGGAAGGCTTGGGAAACTTACCTCGGCAGGCCCGAGGCCTTCCGAGCCTTCCGAAAAGTCCGCTCCTTCTCACTTCCCCTCCAGGCTCGCCACCGTCCCCCCCGCCCTCCCTCCCTACCTCCCCACCTCCCCACCTCCCCCCACCTCCCTCCTTCCCTCCCTCCCTCCATGGTGGACAGGAGGTTCGAGGTTCGAGGCTTGCGGGCGTTGTCGACGGTTCTCGGCGGTTTTACAGCCTCGGGATGCGTTCCAGCGGTTGCGCCTCGCCGAGGGGCCCTGCGGGGGTGGCCGGATCGTCCCGAACGGCCGCCGGACAATCATTACTCACGTTAGCGGGGGATGGGCTCAGGGGGCCCTGGCTCTAGTTCCGCCGTACTTTTTGGGCGATTTCGCAAGTAAGGTGGAAATCCGCCCTACTCTTCGAGCTCCTTTGATTTCGATTTCGCCCTTTATCCGCCTATTGTTCCTGCGTCGCATTACGTTGGTTTGCATTGTTCTGTGTTGATTTGCATGAGTTTGCACTGCTCTGCATCGCTCTGCATTGTCTTGCATCGCATTGCATTGCTTTGGACTGTTTTGCGTTGCTTTGCACAAGCATGCTTTGCGTTGCATGGCGTTGCGTTGCGTTGCTTCGAATTGCTTCCCAAGCTCTGCATTGCGTTGTGTTGCATCGCGCTGCTTTGCGTGGCTTTGCATTGGTTCTCGCGAGTTGATCGCCCTCCATTCCCCCTGGGACACTGCAAATTGCAGATGATTCTGCCTCAACGTTCATTTTCTGCCTCGACGTTCATTTCGCGTATGAGTTCATGCCATCCCAGAGGGGACCTCTACCAACCCCCACCATTATCCCTGTCGAACACTACTACGCGCGCGCACTCGTATAACAAAAGTAAATACCAATAATCCCTTACCAGAGGCGCCACGCGCGCGTCGGCGCGCGCATGCCGAAATCCTTGAAGACCTCAGTTTCAGGACGGATTTCAAGAACGAGGTTTTCGAAACCTATGAAATACCCATTGTTTATCAATATTTATGTTTCAAATGATCGTTGCGCGCGCTCCTGCGGATTCTTAGCAAGATCGTAAGTGTTTCAATATGTTCTTAGATTCGACCACGCGGGCCTCTCCCGCGCGCATTTCGAAATCATTCCCGCGCACTTGCGCCCTTACTGGGGGGCACGATCACTGTCAAATCAAACCATGCGGGCCACGCGAGCGCGTCGGCCGCGCGCACATGTCAAAAACCCTTCCAAAACCCACATCAAGCCGTCGTCGGCGTTGCCAGCATCGGTACCATCATTGGCCTTTGCCGTCATCATCGTCATCATCGTCACCACCATCGTTACGATGGTTAACGCCGAACTAAGAACAGCAGCGACCATCCCGAGAACACGGAACGGACCGTGCCGCGAACTCAAATCAGAACAACCCTGCCGAAACCAAAACAGCCCCGCCAAAACCAAAACAGCCGTTCCGTTCTCGCAATAACAGCGTTTCGCCCTCACCAGAACCGGCCATGCGTGTTCGCTGAAACAGCTGCCCGACCTCAGAGCGGCGAGGGCTACTATAATCATCGTTGCCGCTGTTGTCGACGTCATCACGATACCGCGCCCGTACGAGCCACCGACCCGCATTGGAGTGCCCGCACGCCAGCGCGGCCTCTGATGCGCGTTTGGAAATTCCCATCGGTAAACGCCACAGCGGCCACATTGGATGCGCCACACTAGCTGGTCGCTCTGCGCGCGAGGTTGCGCGCGCCAGCGCGGCCGCAGAGATGTGCCAGCCATGGCGAAGCAGTCATCGCAATCGCCGCCGCATTGTTTTTGCAAACCAAGTTGCGGGTGGGAGGGTGGGGTGATTGCGTGAGCAGTAGAGTTAACAACTTCAAGTTCTGCTTTGCACCACATGTATTGCACCACATGGATTGCGCTACCCAAATTGCACAGCATTGATTGCACCACCTACCTTGCACCGCGTCACGGAAGATCTACCTAAGTACGACGCAGGGGCTCCCCCGGCTCCCTAGACCTCAAACGCATTGATAAACAAAACGGGGGCTACTCGTCGTTTTGGGCGTAGGGGGGTCCTCGCCGGGCCCCAGGGTCGCCAAAGAAACGATCCGGGACGAAAGACCAGTCCCCAGGAAGTGGTCCGGTGCTCCTGGGGCCCCAGATTGAAGAGTTGCAAACATCGGAAGTCTGGTTCTGGAGGGGGGCAGGGGAGGAGAGTGGCGAGCTCCTCCTCCTCCTCCTCCTCCTCCTCCTCCTCCTCTCGCCTCCTCCTCCTCCTCCTCCTCCTCCTCCTGTCGCCTCCTCCTCCTCCTCCTCCTCCTCCTCCTCCTCTTCCTCCTTCTGTCGCCTCCCCCTCCCGCTCCCCCTCCCCCCTCCCACTCCCCTTCCCCTCCCCTTCCCCCTCCTCGTGGCCGTTCTGGCTCGAGGCGCCGTGCCAGCGCGCCGCGGCGCGGCCGGGGCGCGGCGCGGGCTGCCCCCGCCACGGCGGCCTGCAGCCCTCGGCAGAGTTGACCCCCCCCCGGGAGGGCCGTGGACCTTCCCATGGGACGCACAGGGGCACACGAAACACCGTACGCCCTCCTTGGAGGCGCGAGTCCGACTCGAACATGCAGTATGACCATCTTGCAGTTTATCCTTTCCCGAGCGGCGTGGCCAGAAAGCGCCCACCAAGACGCATGTACTACAAGATTTCTCGGTGCGCGGGCCCCCCCCAGGGGGGGCGACGCACACATAGTGTAAGTATGTTGGGGTGACGCCGACTCCCCTTCGATACGGTAGAGGGAAACAATCAGTGGGTACGTCCCCTCGGACACCGAAGACGCCGTCTTCCTTGCTGTGGTGTTAAAAACATAGAAGGAGGCGCGAGGGCTTCTCTGAGAAGCCCCGCCGCCCTCCGAGAAGGCCTTCTCCTTCTCGCTGCCCCCCCTCAGCTGGCCTCCGCACCGCGGCCTCGGGCGCCCGCCCGTGCCTCTCGCCGGAGCTGCCGGTGGCCTGCGGGAGCGCTGCGGGGCCCTGCGGCCTATCGTCCTCGGGCCCGGTGCCGGCCCGCCTCCTGCCGCCGAAGCACTGCGGAGCCCCTTGCCGCCGGGGGGGGGGGGGGGGGCACTGCGGCCGCAGGACCGACAGGTGTCGCGAAACCATTCGTGGACACGCATCCTCTCCCCCGAACTCGGTGCGCGGCTCTTGGGGGCCGCGGGGGGACCAGACGCACGCGCGCAACAGCGCTAGGACCGCATCGCGTTCGGCGATCGGGCGACCCGAATGGGCCCGCGCCAAAGGTCACTCCCGCGAAAGGTCACTCTTGCGTCTAGTCGATCAGAGCTGCCCGAACTCAAGGTTGGCATGTCGAGATTGGGGGTCGAGGGTCGGGGGCGAGGGGATCCAGGGCCCGCCGGAGGAGAGGAAGGAGCAGCCGCCCGAGGTCGCGGCGAGAGGGGCCTCGGGGCGCCGCGCCGCGCACCTGGCGAGGAGAGGGGCCCGCGGCCGCAGGGGGACGGGGATGCCAGGCAGGCAGCCTCCATCGGTGCTGGACGAGCGCGCTCCACGGCTCGCAGAGTAACTGCTCGCAGATGGCCTGGGGATCTGCCGCGGGGGATTCGCGATCGATGAGATCGAGGCGAGCATGTGCTTTCCGAGCGCTTGCGAGTAGGCGCTTGTGCTCGGTGAAGTGCGGGCGCTCATGAGGTCCAGCCCGCTCTTCCTCGGCTTCCCGAGCTGGCAGCTGCGTGTGCCTGGCCTGCGAGGGCGCGGGGTCCTCCAGGGCAGGGGCCTCTCCAGGACGGACACAAAGCAACCTACGAGGAGATCGGGCATGACAAGCCACGCAAAGCAGCGTGCCTGATCGCGAGGGCGATGACGCGGCCAAGGCCAGCCAGAGTCATGCCGACTCACCAGCGAGGGAGGCCACTTCCGTGCTGCCGAGCCTCGTCGCTAAAGGTGCGGAGCGGGCGGCAGTCGAGGACGATAGCGACTGCTTCGACGCGGACGTCGCCCAGACAGTTGCCTCTTTCGGGCACGCGCTTCCAACTCAACCTACGGCATATTCGTGTCGTGACGCCCGTGGCGTTGGCTTCTGACATAGCGTGGACCGTTCAATCTCGTAAGATCGGCGGCGTTTCCATCTTCAGATCATTCCATATTGGTCGATTCTGGGCAACTGGTGGCTTTCAACCTTGAACGCCAGCGGCGGCTTCGCAGCCGCGTCGACACGACACGAACCTACCGCAGGCAAGCAGCAGATTGGGGTCCAATTCTTCGTGGCCTTCCGCAGCATCGAGCCGCAGCCCCTGCTGG